CAAACTTTCGATGCTCCACACATGGCAGGCGTGGAAGGTGACGACAATGCCGAAACATTTTCGGACTCAAATCCTACACCAGAGGATGCAGGAAATTTACAAATTTTATTCTTAAAAAGAAATCGCATTCACGACGAAATATCGCGTTTCAAGTTGTGGTTTGAAACAAACAATTACAGTACATCCGCTTCTCGACTGAGAGTAAGATTGCGCGATTTTGTACGTATTAAGGCTCAGTTTGACAAAATCCATTCTCAGATTGAAGCTCTTGATGACGCTACCCTCGATTTAGAACACTCTAGAACAAAACTTTATTTCGAAAACGCGTATTACGATTTATGTGCAGATGTCGAAGATGCTATTGAACAAAAACGCGTTAACACATCTTCACCTGCACCGCAAGGTAACGCACCTACGAGCACACCGTCACCATCGGTGCAGTCGCTCCCGATTGTTATTAAACCATTTAGCGGAATTTATACTGAATGGCTACCTTTTTATAATACACTTAAAACACAAAAGGTGTCTACATTTACAGCGGCAGTAAATCGCAATAGCACACAATCCACTTGTAATTTTTGTAAAAAATCTCATTTAATTTACAACTGTGTTACCTTTTTAAAACTCAGTGTTTCGGAAAGAAGGTGTCAGGTAGATAGGCTGAAATTATGTCAAAATTGTCTCAAACCATCGCATACGTCCGATAGCTGTAAATCTATGGCATGTAAATTATGCCAATTGAAACATAATATACTTTTACATAGTGACCAACCCTCCCATTCAAACGATGATAAGTCGCTCACAGCTCCTGAAACACAACATGAGAACTATTTTATTAACAATGCCACTCAATTATCCAACGGACGATTTCAAGTCAGATTAACATTTAGCAAGTGTTTCCCAATCTTGAGGGATTCGAAAGAAATCGCGCTTCAACGATTGTACTCATCGGAACTTAAGTTCGCAAAAAATATTATGTTAGAAATCAACTATCATAATTTTATAAAAGAAGACATTAATTTAGATCATATGCTTTTACTAGGTTCATTTACAGAGCAAAAAATCGAAAGTAAACCCCATCATTTTTTGCCTCATCATGCGGTTTCCAAAACTGACGGGGTCACTGAAAAGATTTGCGTAGTGTTTGATGGGTCAGTTAAACCATCAGTCGGAAAAAGCATAAATGCTTGTCTCAGTACAGGGTCAAAAGTACAAAACGACATTTCCGATGCAATAATTCGATCTAGGACGCATGAGATCGCTTTTACTGCGGACATTTGTAACATGTATCATCAAATTTTAATTCATCTCGAAGACAGACGATACGAAAAAACTTTGTGGTGGGATGATCCCGTGCTTTACCAAGCACGTGTCACTTTAGCCAAACGGGCTTCAAATACAAATTTGCTGAATGATTTGACAACTAACCACATCAATTTTCATTTCATTCCGCCTTCCGCGCCACATATGGGGACTATCGGGGAAGCAATGGTCAAATCTACGAAAAGTCAGTTGAAGCGCGTTACTGGTATATTTTTATTTAATTTGCAAGAAATGCAGACGTTGCAAATACAAGTCGAAACGTGTTTGAATTCGTACCCGTTAACCGCCATGTCCAAAGATCCAAATGACCTGACTCCTTTAATTCCCGGTCACTTCCTCGTTGGAACCCCTCTAACTGTTATTCCAGAGGATAACGTCACCACGGTCTCAACGAACCGGCTCTCCAGGTGGCAACAATTCAGCCGCACTCAGCAGCAATTTTGGAAACGGTGGACAGCAGAACATATGGGTCAACTTCATCATCGCCCAAAATGGACCAAGGCCAGCCGCAACAGCATAAGGTGGACGATTTGGTGGTCGTTAAGGAAGACCACACACCCCCGCTTATATGGACCACTGGGACGCGTTATTACTGTTCATCCCGGTCTACATGGCCCCATTCGCGTAGTGACAGTGAGAACCGCGCATGATGTGATTAACCTGCAAGTGACTAAGCTGTGTGTGCTTCCGACATAAACAAATGTGCAGTGTCTAAATTTACCCCTTTTTTTCTATGTGTTCTGTACTCTATTTCATTGTCAATGTATGCACCTGTCATGTAGACACATATTATGTATTTCATATTTGTAATTGTTATACTTTGTCATGTTGAAAGTTAGTTCTTTCAAGGCGCCGGACCATGTTCGGGTTTCGGTTTTACCTACCAACCGCAACCCTTGTCAACAAGCGTCCCCAACTTTCTCTTCTACCTGCAATGTATCGCTTCCGATTTTAACAACTTTGTACATAGACTCCGAACCGTCAACAACAAGTAAATACAGTGTTACACAGCACATGTTTGTGTTTCATTTTATATCAATCTTTTTCGGTACGTATGTATGAATAACAATCATACATCCAACAATGTCCCATTTCTCAATTATTCGATATTTCAGATTTGGAATTTTTCAATTATTTAATTTCTCGATTATATTTTTTTTTAATTACTCCATTTTCCGATTCTTCAAATTTTTTCATTTTTCAAATTTTCAATTTTTGGCGTTTCAAAGTTTTCGATTTATCGATTTTTCTAAAATTTTGTTTCCATTTCTCGACTTTTTGATTTTTCAATTCTTCTATTTTTCAACTTTTTAATTTTTTCAATTTTTCAAATCTTCAGGTTTTTGAGTTTCCAAATTTTTTATTTTTTAATTTTCGATTCTTCGACTGTTCAGCTTTTCGATTTCTCAATTTTTCACTTTTTTGATGGCTCAAAATCATGGAAATATACATGTTTCAATTTTTGAATTATTCGATAATTCGTCTTTGGATTTGTCGGTTTTTCGATTTTTAGATTTTTGAATTTATCTGTTTTTCAAGCTGCTGATTCTCCATCTTTCGATTTTTCAACTTGGCTTTTTAAAATTTTAGATTTTAGGAGTTTTCGTTCTCTTTTGGTTTTTCAGCTTTTCGATTTTCCAATTTTTCGATTTCTTAAATTTTACATTTTCTGATTTTTCAATTTTTTGATGTTTAGAATTCCCAAATTTGAATTTTATTAATACGTCACTTTTTCGATTTATCAAATTTTTGTTTTCTCAGTTTTTCTCGACTTTCCGATTCTCGAGATCTGGGTTTTTCCATTGTTTAATTTTTTCTATTTTATCGATTTTTCGATTTTTCGATCTTCCGGTTACTCAGTTTTTCAATATTCCAATTTTTGGAATTTCCAACATCTGGATTTTTCCATTTTTCGAATTTTTAATTTTCCAACTTTGTAAATTTCAGATTTTCCGAGTTTTTGTTGTTTCGACTGCTCGATGTTTGGATTTTCCAACCTTTCAGTTCCGTTTTTTTTGGCTCGATTTTTAGATTTTCCTATTTTTCAATGTCTCAATTTTTCAGTTTTCCGACATTTCAGTTGTGGGATTTGTTTAATTTACCAATTTTTCAGTTTTTCGATTCTTTAATTTTTCGTTTTTTCGGTTTTAAATTTTTCAAATTTTCGTTAATTAAAAAATTAGATTTTTGTATTTCTCGATTTCTAGATTATTGGATTTTTCAATTTTTCGACATTACAGTTTTGGAGTGTTTCAATCTATTTATTTTTCAGTTTTTCGATTCTCCACTTTTTCGATTTTTCAGTTTTGATTTTTAAATTTTCGATTTTATATTTTGATTTTTCAGTTTTTCAATTCTATTTTTCAATTTTTTAGATTTTTTCAATTTTTGAAAATTTCAATTTTGCGAATTTTTCAATTTCTAGATTTTTCAATTTTTTGATGCTTCTATTTTTCGGTTATGAAAATTTTGGATTTTTCGGTTTCTCGATCTTGGGATTTAGTTTTTTGTTTTTCAATTTTTAAAATGTTTTATTTTTCGATTTTTCGATTTTTGATTTTCTAATTTTTCGATGTCCCGATTTGCCTGTTTCTCAGTTTTGAAATTTTTCAGTCTATCTACTCTTCAATTTTTCGAATCCTCAACTTTTCGATTTTCTAATTTTGATTTTGTAAATTTTAGATTTTTCAATTTCTCGGTTTCTCGTTTTTTTATTTTTCAGTTTTCGATTTTTTAATTTTTTATTTTCAATTTCTTAAATTTTACATTTTTCGATTATATATACAATTTTTGGAACATTTCGATTTTGGAAAACTTAAAATTTTTGTAATAGATTTTTCTATTTCTAGATTTTTGGATTTTTCGAGTTTTTGGATTTCGTCTATTCGGTTTTAAATTTTCCGATGTTAATGTTTGATTCTTCGATTTTTCGATTTCTTGGATTTCTGGATTTTTCAAACTTGCGATATCTCAATTTTTTAATTTTTCGAATTTACAAATATGAGATTTTTCAATTTATCTATTTTTCAGTTTTTCCATTCTTCAATTTTTCGATTTGTCAATTTCGATTTTTTAGGTCTTGAATTTTTCAGTGCCGATTTTTGGATTTTGAATTTTACAATTTCTCAATTTGTGGTTTTTGTTTTAATTTTCAGTGTTTCAATTTTTCAGTTTTTCGATTTCTTAAATCTTAGATTTTTTGATTTTATGATTTTTAGATGTTTAGATTTCCCGATTTTTTCATTTTTTAATACTTCAATTATTCGGTTTTTCGAATTTCCGATTTCTCGATTTTTCAAGAATTTGATTTCTCAATTTTTTAGTGTTTCAATTTTCTGAATTTTTCAATTCTAGATCTTCGTATTTTTCGACTTTTCGGACTTGAATTTTTCAATTTTTCATGTATGATTTTTCGATTTTCCGGTTTTTCCTTTTTCGATTTTAAAAATATTTTGGTTTTTCCTTATCATAAATAAAGACAGCGAGAAAGCAAAAATGTTTTCCCCATGTTTCAATTCTTACTGGCACAAAAATTGTTTATAGATCATTTTTCAAAGAAGCGCGATTTGTTTGGTTGCGCTTCAGGGGAGAGGGACGATCAGTCGAAATAACCTTCGACAATTTTCTGTCTCAGACTTTTTAAAGGAAGTTTTTACCCTGAACGTTTTTCTTTCCAGGTCCCGACAGCAAAGTTTCCGACATCGACGGCCAGCCCTACACCACCATCCTCTACGGCAACGGCCCCGGCTACGCCACCCCCCGCATCGTCCCCATGAACACGTCCGCCGCCTCCGACGACCGCAACCAGGTGCACGGCTCCGCCGTCCCCCGCCAGTGGGCCACCCACGGCGGCGAGGACGTGCCCGTGTACGCCCTCGGCCCGCTCGCCACCATCCTCTTCACCGGCACCTTCGACCAGAGCTACATCCCGCACGCGGTGGCGTACAGCGCCTGCCTCGGCGAGCACCGCCTCCGCTGTCAGGGCATCGACAACTACACCGTCCCCCAGGTGGCGTCGTGCGTGGCCCCCGAGGTGTCGAGCGTCGCCGCCGCCGGCGCGCCCGTCGTCGTCGCCAGCAGCGTCATGGCCGACGACGGACAGCGCGTCAAGAGCGCCGCGGCGGCGGCGGCGGGCGCGCTATGGCTGACGCTGGGGGTGGGCTTCGCGGTCACGTAATGAGCGGCGGCGCGGAGGTGTACATATTGTGTGTTGGATGGTGTAAATTGTACAGACGACTTTTGACCAATGACGTTGTTGAAGCACTTTTTGGACATTGTGCACGGTGTCACCCTGATTGGGCCCTGGGCGGTCGCCGGGGGCTCGATTTTATCATCCACAGTTACATGTTCATTTTAAATTGTATATTTGCATTAAGAGATAATAAAAGTATTATACGTATGGATCGTGGGTTTTCTTGACGGCTTTGATGTACTGGAAATTTTTAATTTTTTTCATTTTTGTTCAACATCCATCGTTCTTATACAAGGGACCAAGTCAGATCAGGTCAGGTCTAGTCAGATCAGGTTTACTTAGGTCAGGTCTAGTCAGGTTAAGTTTACTCAGGTCAGGTCAGGTCAGGTACTTTTTTCGGTGTTCTTGAAGTTCGCTACAACCTTGATTTTTTAACACTCAGAAGTGTTATTCTAATTTTGGCATCCTCGTACTTAAATATGAGGTCAGGTCAGGTTAGGTCAGATCAAGTAATAAGAGAAGAGAACTAAGAAAGAGAGGTTTTTAGAGAAGTTGCCTAAAAATCACCAAAAAAATCTGAAATATAGTTCCGGAATTGCTGATTTGAAAAATAAATCGTCTTAGTAGCTCTTGAGCAAGATTTTCGAATTAGTTGAATTAAAATATATTTTTTTAAATCCTAATAAATTATTCGGTTTGAAATGCAAATTTTTGAAAAAGAATTAAATTATGTCTGATTTTATTAGACGATTCTGAAAAAATTATTCGAATTTTTGGAAAGATAAGGCCAAAAATAACTTCTGGAAGTCGAAATCAACACAAAAATTTATTTAGTTAATTTTCAGATGTCCTCTAAAAAATTTCGTAAGTTTCATTAAGAAAAAGGAAATACTGAGGGTTTGGAAAAGTTGTCTAAAAATCAATAAAGATATTCTTGAATATATGTCGATATCGACGTGTTGATTTTGAAAAATATAACGTGATTATAGTCCAGGAGCTAATTTTAAAAATTAAAGTTTAATTTTTTTTTATTTCAATTTCTAAAATCTATTTGAAATTTAGACAATTCTCCAGTAACGATAGGAATTTTCGAAGAAATGAAGGAAGTTAATTTCTGGTGGTCGAATTTACAAAAAAAAATCTATTTAGGTAGGTAACTCTCGAAAGTCGTCGGGAAGTTCCCTAAAATTTCATTGACAGACTGAATTTTTATGTAGTGAATTGAAAAAGATGTTGTTAATCGTACCAGAGTTAGATTTTCGAAATACATATGTTGTTTGAAAGTAATTTTTTTTTAAATTCGTAAAACTTGGCAATTATCATCTGTGTGATTCTGGAAAAACTGTAGGAAGTTTCCAAGAAATGAAGAAATCAACAAAAAAAAGGTAATTTTTGAAGGTGGTCCAAAATCTAAAATTTCGTAATGAAAAATAGTAGCGCTTTTGGTAAAGTTGCGTAAAAATTAAAACAAATTTCTGGAATATAGCGCTTATCGTTCCTAAGTAAGATTTTCGAATTATTCAGTTTGAAATGGAAATTAAAAAAAAATTAAATATGTCTTATTTTTTTGGACGATTCTGAAAAAATGATACAAATTATTGGTAAATGAGGGTAAAAATAACTTCTGTAGGTCGAAATCAAGACGAAAATCTTTTTAGGTGATTTTCAGAAGTGCTCGAAAAAATATCGTAAGTTTGACAAAGAGAAAGGAAAAATTGAGCTTTTGGAAAAAAGCTTTTAGCTAAAAATGAACAAAAAATTCTGTCGACGTGTTGATTTGAAAAATATGTGGTGTTAATGGTCTTGGAGTTAGAAATATTTTGTTTAAAATTAGAGTATATTTTTTTAAATTCTTAAAAATTGGCATATAGGAATTTTCGAAAAAATAAAGCCGAAAACTACTTCTGAATGTCGAAATCCTCAAAACATTTTTCTCAGGTAATTTTCGAAGGTGGTCGCAAGGAGATTGAAAATTTCGTAAGCCGGTGTGTTGAAAATTTAAGATTTTGGAAAAATTGCCCACAAATTAACAAAAAACTCTGTGATATAAATATCGATATGCTAATCTGAAAAATATGGCGTGTTTGTGGTTCCGTAGCAAAATTTTCGATATTTTTAAAAATCGTTAAAATTGTCAATCTTCATATGAGCGATTCTCGAAAAATTATAGGAATTTTCAAGGAAATGGAGCCGAAAATGATATCTCGAGGTCAAAATCTATAAGAAAATCTGTTTAGATAATTTTAAAAATCCAAAAATTGTATCTATTTTATGCGATTTTGAAAAAAATAATGTACGAATTTTTGGAAAATGAGGTTAAAAATAATTTCTGGAACACATTTTTTTTTAGGTAATTTTCAAAAGTGTTCTAAAAAAGATCGCAAGTTTGATATTAAGAAAGAAAAAATTGATCTTTCGAAAAAGTTGCCTAAAGACCAATAGACATTTCGGAATATAGATCTCTACATGTTGATTAAAAAATAAAAGGAGAAAATTTTTAGAAATCGAAATTTAAGAATATTTTTTTAATTTGAATCTATAAAATAAAAAAAAAACATTTCATTTGGACGATTCTCTAGCAATAATAGGGATTTTCGAAGAAATGTGAAGATAACTTCTGGAGTTCCAAATCCACAAAAAAATCTCTTTAGGTAATTTTCAAAAGTGGACCTCGAAAGGCTCATTTGAAAAATATAACGTTTTAATGTTCCTCGAGCAAGATTTTGAAATTTTCTGCTTCCAAGTTAAAATTTTTAAAAAATCGTAAAATTTGACATAATTTATCTGGCGATTTTGAAAAAATTGTAGGAATTTTCTAAAAATGGTAGGTATTTTCGAACAAGTGTGGGCAAAAATAACTTCTGGAGGTAGAATTCAGCACAAGAATCTCTTTAAGTAATTTCCGAAACTGCTCGAAAATATTTCGAAAGTTTGATAAGGAGGGAGGAAAAATTGAGCTTCTGGAAAAGTTGCCTAAAAATTAATAAAAAAATTCTAGAGTGTAAAAATCTCGACGTATTGATTTCAAAAATATTGCGTGTTTGTGATTCTGGAGAAACATTTTAATTCAAATTTTGTTAGAAAATGAAAAAACAAATGTAATAATTTTCAAAAAAATGAAGCGAAGATAACTTACGGAGTTTAAAATCCACAAACGAAACTATTTAGAAATTATATATTTATTAATAATTATTTACATATACATAATAATATAGTTCTAAAGAGCTCGAAAACATGTGGGAAATTTCAAAAGTGGGAACAATTGAAAAATTGAGTTTTTGGAAATGTTATATAAAAATGAACAGAAAAAAAAAACAAAAAATGGATCTCAATGTGCTGATTTGAAAAATATAACATGTTAATATTTTTTGAGTAAGATTTTCGAATTATTCTATTCGCAATTCAGTTTTTTTAGAAACCCTAAAATTTGACATTTTTTATTGTGCCGTTCTGAAAAAATGGAAAAGAAATTTTCGAAAGTGGTCAACACAGGTTCGAAGGTTTGATAGAAAGAGAACAACTGAGCTTTTGAAAAGTTGCCTAATAAATAATAATCAATAAAAAAATGTGTTGTTTTAAAAAATATAGCAGTGTTTACTGTCCAGGAGCCATATTTTAGTTTTTTTTGGCCATATATCAATCAGATGAGTGACTCTGGAAAAACTGAAGAAATTGTCGAAGAAATGAAGCAAAAAACGTGTTGAAAAATATTAGGTATTTATGGTGCTGGACAAACATTTTAATTAAAATTTATAAAAAAATTGGCGACTCTGGGAACAAAGGTAGGCATTTTCAAAGGAATGAAAGGAAGATAACTTCCGGAGTTCGAAATCTACAAACGAAATTATGTTGATAACTTCCGAAACTGGTCGTAAACATGGCGAAAATTTCAGAAAAACTAAGTTTTTGGAAATATTACATACACATGAACAAAAAGTTCTGAAGTATAGAGCTCAACGTTGTGATTTGAAAAATATAGCATGTTAATGTTTTTTGAATAAAATTTTCGAATTATTCGGTGTGAAATTATTTTTTTTTAATCCTAAAATTTAACATAATTTATTTTGTTCTGAAAAAATGGTAACAATTTTCGAGAAAATTAGGGCAAAAATACCTTCTGGAGGTCGAAATCAACAGAAAAATCTCTTTAGGGAATTATAATTTTCAATAAAAATACTCTGTAATATTCTGTAAAAATTCTGGACTTGAAAAATATAACGGCCGAGGAGCCAGATTTTAGAATTTTTTTTTTATTTTTAAAAAATACCAAACATCGTAAGAGTGATTCTGGAAAAACTGTAGAATTTCGAGAAATGAAGCCGAACATAAATTATAGCTGGCGAAATGCACAAAAAACTCTGTTTAGGTAATTTTCGAAAATGGTCGACAATAGGTTGAAAATTTTATAATATTGAAAAAATTGAGCTTTCGGAAAACTTGCCTAAAAATGAACAAAAAATTGTGGAATATTTAGACCTCGAGGTGCTCATTTGAGAATATAACGTGTTTATGGTTCTTCAGCAAGATTTTAGAATGATCCAGTTTGATACTAAAAATTTGTAAAAATATACTAAAAATTTACATTTTTTATTAGGCAATTTTGAAAAATTGGTAGGAATTTCCAAAAAAAAAGGGGGCAAATTTAGATCCTGGAGGTCGAAATCAACACAAAAATCTCTTCAGATAATTTCCAAAGGGCTTGTAAAAAGATTGAAAATGCAATAAAAAGAGAGCAAAAATTAAGCTTTTGGAAAAGTTGCTTAAAAATGAACAAAAAATTCTGAAATGTAGATCTCGACGTGCCCATTTGAAAAATATATTGTTTTGTGGTTGTAAAGCAAGATTTTTGAATTATTCTGTTTGAAATGCGTTTTCTTTTTAATTCTAAAATTTGTCTTCATTTGTTGATTCTGAAAAACTGGTACAAATTTTTGGAAAAATGAGGGCAAAAATTTTTAGGTAATTTTCAGAAGAAAAGAAAAATTGAGCTTTTGAAAAAGTTGAATAAAATTCAATAAAGACATATTGTAATGTTTTGATTTGAAAAATGTTACGTGAAAAAGTACTCAGTTAGGTTTCGAAAATGTCAAAATTTCGGCGAAATTTGAAGAAGGGGGGACCATTGGAAAATTTTCACTTTTA